AACACCCACAGGAAAAAAGATATTTCCAGGGGTCAGCTCTCCAAACCCACCACAGGATTTGGGGAAAGAAATTATGCTTTTCTCCAAGGAAGACACTGTTGTTACCAGTAACAAGGAATTTACAGGCTGAGTCCCATCCACCACTTTTATCTAGAGCCCACAGCACTGAGGACCTGTGTGATCCTTGGTGTACACCAGAAATATGTCTACAGTCTCTGTCTTAAGTTTGCAACAGCCTCCACAGTGCTGATATCTCCTAACAGCGGTAGCTGGAGAAGTAGAGCAATGTCTATACAGCTTCCCACGCACTCTGTGTCACCAGACCCAAGTGGGTCATCCACAAAAGGGGGTGTCCGAAAGCAGGAAAGGAGTTTGCCCCTTCAAGCCTGAAGATTTTGCTCAGTCACACTTCAAGTCATCCTAACAGCTTCTTGAGGCTTTTCCACAAACCCCTTTTTGCTACACGGCAACAAAGCAGAAGAGTACCTCTGGCTGTGCTTTTCTCTCCATCAGGCCATGCTAGCTGGTGGAAGCCGGTAGGGGCGATTCCTACAGGAAAGCTGATTTCAGTCCCCAGGAGTTTAGTCCTAATGTCCATCACAGATACATCCCGCAGCATACGTGGCCGAAAACGAATTCTGTAAGGTAATAGAAACCCTTCAAGATGGTAGCTGCCCAGTGGCTTTTCTGAAGTTTCATGGAAACCAGGTCTTCATTGACCTATTGCAATGCAGGAATCTGAACCAATAAAGAAAACAGCATATAACAAAGGCTCTTTGTCCTTTCTGTTTGCTTTTAGAGGTCAGTTCAGCCAGAAGTTCAGCTACTTCCAGTTTTCATTAATCCCATACTCCTGCTCACTGGCCACGGTACATCATTTCTGCATTTCCCACTTCAGTTCACCAGCCCTTGTTCTCCCACTGTCCATCCCACAGATTCCTTCTACTTGCAGCCCAGTCCCAGGCCTCTGCCTTCCACTCCACCATTCACTGTACATTGTGCCGGCCCTCACTGTCTGCAGCATGTTCCCCAAATCCCATACTACCTACACTTAGGCTTCCTACTGTTCATCAAATGCTCCCTATTGCATCTCATTCTATGCAGCCACTCATCCCCTTTCTTGTCACGTCATACCATACCAACCATACCATACCATACCATACCATACCATACCATTTGCCTGGACCCTCAGCAAAAAAAAATGTCATATCATACCAAACATACCCTACCATATCATACCATACCATACCATACCATACCATACCATACCATACCATACCATACCATTTGCCTGGACCCTCAGCATCCCTTATGCCTCATACAATCTATGTCATATTCAGACTAGCATCAGAGCATACAGCGTATGTCATTCAGGTAAGTGCCTTTTGCTTGTGGACCACCTTGAAAGGGCAAGGTGTAAGGACTCTTGGCTTGTGAAGTCCAAACACTTGCACAAAAACTTAGTTTAACAGCTTCCGGTACAGCACCCCTCATTTCCTCCTCACATTACCTTTTATATGCCAGGATGTTTTCATCTCGGGTGCTACAGTCATCTGCTCCAGCTGCAAAAAAATCCCAAGCAATCTTGGGTAAATACTTTTTAGCATAAGCTTCGAAGTCTGAAAGACACACCATAGCCATAGCTGAGAGAGGCTCTGGGAACCTTGAAGAAAAGAATAACACGGAGCAGAAATTAGATCCCTGAAGTGTCATTCTCTCTTCCAGGGACTCTAATGTCACTTAATGCAAACCTTGGATCCATCTGTCTTGTAGAAGAGTTGCTGAGAGGTTGTCCCAGTCTATCTTACCATTCATCCTCTCCCCTAGTATGAGGAAAACTTGCAGATGCAGCCATAAAAGTAGGAAGAAGCTTGCATCTCTGTGCCTCTCTTTATTCTGTCTTAATGAACAGAAACCCAAAGAGGACATTTTTGGTCCTCTGCTATTTTAAGACACAGCAGTCGTATAATTCTGTCATAAATTCCATCTTAAAACTAGCTGGGTTATTTGTTCCACTAATTCTCCTCAAAGGTTGGCCCAAAACATTGTTTGCTGGATTGCCCCTTAGGATGGCTCCCTGACTGAACAATTAGTTATGGAGTGCAGTGACTAAATTCAAGCTCATAAAATCTGGAAGCAAGTAAATACGTAGTCTACATTTAACCTGCTCCAGCATGAACACATTGTAAAACTATGTCCAGACTCTGAGTGCAAGTCACTGTCAAGGCCAGAGCTGCGGAAAAACAAAGTATTTTCTACAGATCTTCATTTCTCTTCTGTAACAAATATCTTCTGGGTGTTTGCATTACATACTGCGGCACTGATACAGGCTAAAAAAGGAGCATATAAAATTTGGACAAACTATGAGAAAACACTGGCAAAAAGCAAATTCCATAACATGAAACATGATTCTAAGAACTACCCTCAATCTTTCAGGGAACAGGAGTGACGTTGTGTGTCCCAGATGTCTAATCAAACCAACATAAATGCTGCCTAGCAAATGCCTGCACTTACATGCTTTTGAACCAGCCAGGACTAAAAGCTATGCAAATTAATGTTTTAGCAAACCATGCCCATGTGCGAGGAAACATGTACAAGACACAGACAAAATCAATTTGCTAAATCGTTTGTTGCAATTACTTCCGCAGCTCTGATTAAAATAGGCATTTTGCAAGGTATATGAAAACATGAAGTTTTAAAACAGCTGTGGTTTGGGTCTAATTTTTCTAAAAATGTACAGGAAGAAGTAAATATCCTAGTTTTCAGGATTAGCCTCCCACCACAAATTAGCAGGGGTTGCAAGCTTCACCAAAACCAGTCCCATGTGTCCGATGTTGTACACTTCTGGCACAGATAAACACATAGGTTATGTACACAGATCCAACCTGTCAAACTGCAGACATGGATATGTCTCACTGAGGTGCCTGTGTAGACACTTGAAAATTAGGACTCATAATTCTCTGTTAGCAAAGAGCCAAAGATGAGGGGCTCATTGGAAGATGAGGTGTGACTGATTTCTTCAGTATTGTTTTGTCTCTTCTGACAGGCCTCAGGTAGCAGGTGGTAGAAGTATCCCAAGCCCTCTCTGTATGCCTTCAAGACATCAAGCACTGCTGATAGCACAAGTCTTCATATGTCATACACCATGATATACCGCAAACCATGTATCATGACTTTTGCTTTTCCGACTGTTAGAAAGGTCAAAGCCAGCAAGCACAAAAAGATAAACCAAGTCCTTTCGTGGCAGAATAAATGGGAATTTTAAACAACCCAGGCCCAGTCCTCATTGTGTCCCAATTCAGACCTCAGTTCAGACTTACCTTGGGTTTCGGGGAGAGCTGCAGGAGGTGAGATCCTCTCCTTCAAGTTCGTCTGCAAACAGGATGTAGAGGTCTTTTCACTCAGTAGCTGCTGTTTTTTCTGGAGTCAATAAGCAACCACCAGAGATTAAAGCTCAAACCTGCAGTAAACTTTGTACTGTTTATATAACACTAACTTTGCTTTGCTATCAGATGATTAAAAGTTCCTTCCAAAAACATGCATCACCTTGTCAGCAACGTGATTGCTTGGGACACAGCACTGGAGCTGCACTCTTTGGCAGTGGCTGAAGGGAAGCAACAGTATTTCAGGGGTTTTGACTGAATCCCGAAACTGTTGGTAGCTTGCTGCTGAATGTGCTACAAATCCAACCAAAATGATGATCCACAGACAGTATGAGTTTTTACAGCCCACAGCCAGAGCCTTGGATCTTTACCGCCGCATGTGGGAGAGATGTTTTTCGCTTCCTACAGTATACGAACAAGTTAAGTACCCTTTGCCTTCTGCCATTTTTAAAGGGCTATGAGTGTTGTTGTGATCCGGTTGCTCTCCCACTCGGCTTGCAGATTCCCTCCCTTGGCTCCCCACCCAGCCATCTCCCAGGAGGGCCATCGTCCCTCTCCCTTTCCTGGCTTGGAGCTGGTGGGACTTCTCTGTGCTTCCCTCTGTCTCCACTGCTAAGCATTACAAACCATGACTGAGGTGCCAACAGATTTATGATATTTACTTAAATTTGCAAGATATGAAAAGTAAACACTGGGCAGTTTTATTTGCCTTTTGTTTTTTTTAAGCCTTTAGGGTTCATGTTTTCAATTTTTCCATGCAACTATGAAAGCTTGAAACTTTGGTTTTTTACTAACTGAAAACTGAGATATTTTTCTCATAAACATGTGATACCAGGTGCAAAGGGTGAGGCAGAAATTTGTGAAAACATTCCCAAAGTTTTACCAGTATTGTTGCCCTCCCAGCCCAAGCAGCCCAGCTGGGGCCAGTGAGTGAGCCAAAGGACCGGGGAAGAGCTGGAAGCTGAACAGAGCTGCACCTGGTGTCCAAGAGACCGGTCTGATCCAGGACTTCAGATCTGATGTTCCTGAGAGCAGAAATCCTTGGTCACTGACACCATCTTTGAAGCTGTAGCGAACATCTATTCTTCTGTTAGACGTATTCACAAGACCCTGCCCAAACTCTATCAGGCATGATCGTCTATACCATCGTCTTTTTACGCTTTTTTAAATTCAGCCTTCAGAGCTCATTGTCCGCTGACAGCCCTGTGGGGCTAGCTTCTGGCATCTGGCTATGGATACATGTGTCATGAACAAGACAAGGTATGCACGCTTAGCTAGAGTGCCCGTGAGCTCCTTGGTTCGCTTTCCTGCCCAGGACAACCCCTGCAGCAGATAGCCTTCAGCTTGCTCTGAAAGAGCAAAGTGCCATCTCTATCTGCACACAACGGAGTGCATCCCTGGGAAGGGAAGGAAAATCCTGCGCTCATTCTCCCTCCGCTAGATGTCAGCTTTGGGACATATATCTCAATCGATGTTGGTAATAACAACCAAAAAAAAAATCAGTCCTTGATGGCCTGCCAGGCACTATGGCCTTAAAACTGATGTGATCACATCACAAGAGTGCCTGCTAATATGTTTGGAAATCGTCATTCCCTGTGTTTTATTCTGAACATTTTCTGGTGCACAGCATAGCAATAAATGTAGCTACATCTGCTCTGGCCCAATCTTCGTTTCAGCCTACAAGTTATCTGCAAGGTCCTCTGTCATATTTCTCATTATGCTGATCTCAGTATGCCCCTTCTTTAGGGATGCACATTGCAGCCAACTCACCAAACCATAAAGTTTATGCTTTCATGGTTATCATAATTTTACATGAATTAAAAATAGTCTGTAACTACTGTATTTTGGATCAGGAGCGGAGAAAAATCTCTGCTTTTGTGCTGTGGCTTTTAAGAGACTGTACTTTGTGTCTGGATATATTCTCTTCCTTCAGCAATGGACTCAATTCAAAGTAGCAATGACTTCTTGTCCCATAAGTAGTATTTTCTCTGACACTAGTTAGACTTCTGATTTAGCTGCGAAGCTCTAAAGTTCTAAGGAAATCAAAATTTGCCACAGACATAATACCTTTTATTAGAGCCCCTGCCATATACTTGAAAAAAGTGGACAAGTTTTAAAGTTCTGGAGCTCTTCCATTGGAGCACAATAAAAGTCTTGAAAAGACTCTCTATAAACTTTGCAGGAAACCTTGCTGCCTTCTTTTGGGAAGTGAAGAAAATAATATAGGAAATACTCACACATCTGGTCCAGCCTTGCAGGTAGAGCGTCAAGCAGCCAACAGCCAAAGCTTCATTTTTGCACAGATCTGCACAGCTGGGGTTTTGCAGCTGCTTACTTTTCAATACTAACATAGTCAAAGGCTCATGAGTCCAAACACAAAGATCCTGTGTAAATCTGTGCTCCAGTTCCTATTACAATCACGATGCTCATTACTCCAGTTGGTTATATTTGTTTGCTTTTCACAGATGGCAAATCGCCGTGGGTCAAGCTGACATCTCTCTCACTGATGCATCCACTAGTGGTGGGTTCAGTCTGGGACTTCACAACACTTTGGTGAAGAATCTGGTGAACTCTAAGCAATGTAAATAACTCAGATCACATAACAGTTTGCATACAGTCACCACTGGTTTTCCTTATCAGATGTCTGTCTTGGGCATGTGCCCCATGTTTGGAAGGAAAACTCTTTTTCCTTGCATGTCAGTCATGCAAGACAGTTTTCCCAAAATTAAATATTTAAATAGCCATCCCTCTATTACAGGTGGAGATGGCAGCAAATCTTATATTTAACATTGCCTAACACTTTGGATTATAAGATCCAGTTTTCAGTTGCTTTTGATTTTGTCATATTTTAATCATTCTAGGCTGAAATTTTCCATCCTTGGTCTCTGTGTTGGGCTGGATTTTTTTGGGAACGTTTCACTGAAAGCTGATCAGCAACTTCCAAGAATGAGGTTAGTGAAAAATATGGTGGTTGGCTCATGCTGAAAATGTCTTACAGTGGTTTCACTGCAGTTCAGTGCTTCATGCAGGGGCTTGAAATTAGCGGGGGCTGATCCCTGGGGCCATCAGCCTGTACTTGCTGGCCATATGAAAATCCAGCCAGATCTGACCTAGCTGTAAATCACTGCTGTGCTTGCACATGCTCAGCAGAGCTTGTCTGAAATCCAGATGTAATCTTTACTGAAGACTTGCCTAGTGCAGAGCACACTTCTGCCCACGGCCAGAGAAACTCAGAAAGCCCCAAATACAAACGGAGGG